CGCCCCGCCCTCTCACACACAATGTAGCCATGGCAACGGCTGGGCGGGCCGCCGATGCGCTCCCGGGGCTGGGCGCGGGGTCCCGCCGGGAGTCCGGCCAGGCCCGGGGCGGCCTGTGCTCTGATGGACGTGGGAACCCTAATTCTGATTTTTCAGTCGTTGCAGCCTTTGGGGTTCACGCCCCTTTGATGGACTGCACTGTGACTCATCAAGGCCTAAAACGCGCCGTGCGGGCCCTGCGAAGGGTGCTTGGGGCGGTGAGTGTCGCCCCAGGGAGATTTAAGAGCTTCAGGGAGCTTTGGGGAACGTGGAGCTGCGAGAATCAGCAGGTGTGGTATCCAGAGGATTGTTTCCTGGGGTACGGAAGGGCGAGAAGAACTTGGAATAGGGTTTTCCTCTCCCCCTCTCCCCATTTATTCTTGGGGTTGCGGGTGCCGCTGTCGGCGGAATCTGGGAGAAACCACGGGCAATTTTTAAGCTGGTTAAAGAGGCAGCCTTCCTAATAACCAGACTGACAACTGCCGCCTGTCCGTGGGGGACAGCCCAACCCTGCTTTTCTGGAAAGTACCCCTTTTAGTAAAACCGATCCTTTATTTATTTGAAATACAGGTCCTGTGGCTGCAAACAAAGACTAGCTCTTAGGTCTTCACCAGGGGAGGACTTTGTGCTCTTCTTATCCAAGATGGGACACCCCCTTTGAATTAGGGGAACAGTAAAATGGGCTAGCGCAGCCAGAAGTACAAAACCTACGGTATTTGCTAATGTATCTACTTGTTTAACTTCAGAAGGGAGAACACCTTTGAATACAAATTATTTTATAGTGCACATATTGCCATTGTTATGCTGAAAACACAAATTCTGCCAACCATGAGTAACCATCCAAAATAAAATAGTTTCAGAGTTGCAGCCTCTAATTTTTCTTTCCTTGTTTCATTTGTTTACTGAATAAAGAATTGGGATGCTGTTTGACCCCAGAGTCAAGGATGCTTGAGAGAATTTCTTGAGAACAGTTAACCAAGATAAAATGATAGTGATTATGAGTTCCCAACAGTTTTCTGGTTAAATAGTGTTCCTATATGTCTTCTTGTCTAGCAGCTGTGGCATTTCTAGTGAGATTGTAGGGAACACTGGGGAGGACTGGTCATAGTCTAATTACACTCACCTGTGAAACCACAGTGGCTTTTGCTAGATTACAGAATTACAGCAAATATTTAATTCATGGAGGCTGTTCAGTGCTCATTTCAAAAGACACGGAGCCGAAAGAGTGGTTATCAGTTGTTAATGAGAGAAGCCGTGCGCCCCACATGTTCCTGCTAGTGGGTCTATTTAGAACCTTCTACTAGGTTTTCTGAAGGGACCCCTGCTGGCACATCTTGGGGAACAGGACTCCACTGGTGGGGTCACATTGATGGGCCCACTCAGGCATCTCTGCAGATACTCTGGGAGCCTGATGGGGAACACCAATGGATGAACGAAACAGTTCTCAATCCACAAGCTTCAGGCCTAGGGGCCATCAACTATGTTCCCTTGGAGCAGAAAAACTGAAGTAAGGACACCACCACAGAAGTTGAAATTAAGAATCACATCTGTCCTGGCTGGTGTGGCTCAGTTGGTTGGGCGCCATCCATGCACCAAAGAGTTGCTGGTTCGATTCCCCTTCAGGGTGTGTAGAGGAGGCAACCAATTGATGTTTCTCTCCCTCTCCTTTCCTCAGTCTCTAAATTAATAAAAATATATTTTAAAAAAAATAACCAAATCTGTCCTATCAAGAAAAATTACTTAACCTGCTAAGAAAACTTCCCACATTTTTTCTACCATGCTATTCTTTTAGCAGAAAATTTCCAAATGCATCGTTATGTAAAACTCACTTCTCTGAGAGAGTAGCCTACAGAATTCACCTTCCTATGAGGTCTTGAAAATCCTCAGGGAAAGCAAGGTATTTATTAGGGGCATGTTTTGTCAGCATATTCTTAAACTTCTGAGCTTTCCTTACATTTTTGTGAAGTTTTTGAACTTAGTATTTTCCGACTTTAGAAACAAGTGGTAGGCCTGGTCGAGTCAGCTAATCACATTTCAAGGCAAACTGAAATTTCTATTTGTAGTCCTGGTTGCTTGTGTTGAGTAGACATAGGATTGCTTTCCCCTAAGGGCTTTTTCAGAGCAAGGCAATTAAGTCAGAACAGTTACCTCATATCAAATCAATCAGCAATGGAATAATAAAAACTGTGTTTAATTTGTACTGTACACAGATTTTACTGTGCATGAAATGATCATAGGACTTCCCCAAATTCAAGCAACTTTGAGATGGACACTTTTGTAAATGAAAAGTACATAAAAGTGACTATTAATGCTATAAACGTTTCCTTTAATTCTGCGTGCAAAACAATCTTCCCTTTGACTCACAATTAATTGGAATTTTGCCATGATAAATAGTATGGACCTTGAATTGATGAAAGTGTTTTATTGAATGTGGACTCTTTATGATAAAGGCATTTGGAAGCTGTTTAGGAAATGACATCATAGAATTGATTTCCAAGTATATTACAAACCTACTATGAAGTTACTTTATAGAAGAAAACTATAAAGGTTAGTTATCTATGTAATTTAGATTCAGTTTTACCCATTTTATTTTGGAGATAGTGATGAGAAATTATGAGGTGATTTTAGCCAATTATTTGGGTGGTTGAATCTCCACTGCTCTCTTACCACTCTTCCTTTGGGCTGCTATGCCGAAGTGACCATCTGCTTTGGTACCTCCAACCACCCAGCGGTCTCACCCCGGGGCCTTCTGCATGTTCTTCACTCACCCCCACAGGAAACTCTTCTAAGAGTTTTTTTGTGTGTTTTTAAAATCCTCAGTGGAGGGTATTTTTTCCATTGCTTTTCAGAGAGAGTGGAAAGGAGAGAGAGAGAGATCGATTGGTTGCCTCCCATACAAACCCTACCGGAATAGAACCCAGGGTCCTGGGTCTCTAACCACTAGGCCAAACTGGCAGGGCAAGCACAACTATTTTTTTTCATCTTTAAAATATTCTCATTAAGGTAATTAAAATTTGGAAAGTACTATGTTGAATATTCACAGCTTGGAATATTTTTTAAAAAAATTATAAATATTTTTCCATTATAGTCTACACATTTATTTTAAATTATATCAGTGATCATGCTACCATGAGTTTATATTTTAAATCACAGTACACAGTTCAAGTTCCCTCTTCAAGAATTAATTTGTAATCTCACAAATTAAATGATCTTTCTAATGAATACATTTATTTCTTTGGGGCAAGGCTCTTTCAGATCCGACTAAATTATTGCTGACTGTACATCGTATTATTGATGGGAGAGCTTGACAGGGAAGGGGGAGGGGGCAGCTCTGCCATTTTCCTGTTGGCTTGTGCCCCTGTGTTAGTATCGCCCTGAATCCAGGTTTTCTGTGAAGGAATGATTGTAACCTATTTGTCTTTTTTTTTTTTTTTCCAGGGCTAGCTTAGTAAAACCAGATAATTTAATCTATAAATCCGCTTAACCGGGCACATAATAACTGCATTGCCCGTGACATTCTGAAAGCAAATAAACAAATGAAGGGCCGCCCTCCCCTCCGCCACTCTCTCAGAATCCTGATCTCAGGACATTTGCGGGGCCATCCCATGAACAAGAGAACGCAATATGTTATTTTGAGAGCCCGCCTTAGAACAAGCTCCCTAACAAAAACAGAACAAAAAACCCTCCTTCTAACTTCATCACTCACAGTGGGGAAATCTTGAAGCTTGGTAATTTGTGAGACCTATTGCTGAATTTGTTTGTTCGTCATAGTATTCCATAGTTGTCACCCTGAGCCTGTAGCCTGGTCAAAATGCAGGTCATCTTACGATGCTTCTCAATACTCACCTGTCTTCCTCCTCCCCTGAGCAGCCCCATCTACACCCCCCCACCTTCTGTTTCAGAGGAAGAGGTGCTTTCTCCCTGACAAAATGAATTTTAATAATGTTTCCAAAAAGTACACCAAATTCTCTCTAGTTTTTAGCTACTATTCAAGTGAACTCTTTCATCAATGTCCTTGAGGCTCTGGAAATCAATTCTCTTATTTTTTTAAATGCTATTGTTTTTGGGAATCTGCCTGCCTTGAACTGTATTGTATTCTGTTAGGTGATATCATGTCCTGTGCTAAAGAGATATACTGTTAAACAATAAAAAGTCCCAACTAGACCTTTAGTTATAATGACATCATTTGACATGCCTAAATTTGGTTTAAATTTGTAGATAATTAATTTCCTACAATTTTATGACTGTTTGTCATCTACTCTTTTAAAAAAAATTGTCTTTATTGTTGAAAGTATTACAGATGTTCCCTCCTGTCCCTATTT